ACTGCAAGTATAATGCTCGTAATAAGCATTTCAAAAGTGGAGCCGATCCAGGTGTTTCCCCAAGGTTGGAAAAGCAATAGCCCAGTGCTGGTAGTAAATATAAGCTACTTCTTTTCAACATCTGTGTGAAAATGAGAGAATTTGGGGAGATGATCAGAGAATTCCTCAGCATACTGATGATGATATAAGCAACAATATCTTAACTATCTCTTCTGGCTAATAACTGAGTTGAAAATTTTCAAATGTATTTCTTATTATTATATTGTTGTATCCAAAGACATATATTGATGTCTTTGATTTAAATAAATGATCATAAAATCAAAAAGTGTTCTTGACTAGAATCATTTTAATATTGAAATATTTAGCTTTTTTCCTTCTGTTTCTCCTGTCTTTACTACAGGAGAAAAAAATTAGCAATATTCATACTCAAATTATAGTCATTATATATATCCTTTTCTCTCTAGGGTGACTCTGGTGGACCTCTGGTTGGTGCAGATAATAAAGGCACTTGGTTCCTTGCTGGTATTGTAAGCTGGGGAGATGATTGTGCCCTTCCAAACAAGCCTGGCGTCTACACTCGAGTGACACATTATCGAGACTGGATCATGTCCAAAACTGGGCTCTAGTGCAGAAGCGCTTCGTACATTAAAGTTCAAAAATTATGCCCTTGTTAAATATGGTGTGTAATTTCACACCATATTTAACTTAGTATCACCTCTCTTTATGCACATTTAATGTTCCAAATTTAAACATATCTGTATAATTTTAGAATTATGAAAACTTTTTGTGTATTAAATTTTGACAAATATTTAGTGATAGCAGTGGACCAGGACACAGAAATCTCCTTTCACCCCTCTCTGGACTGAAGGGAATTATTTGAGCAAATATGGATTGCAGTTTACTAAGGAGATCTTCTCTCTTGATTTGTAGATCCAGATCCCTTGGGAAGTCACAGATTAGGTGTTATCAATAAACTCCCTTCTATTGCATATAGACAATCTCCTCCGGAATCAGATGGACTCCTCCAGATCCACATATCGGTGGGTGGGTTGTGAGCTACTGAGTTGCAATAATACTGCTTATAAAAATTTTTTCAGGAAAATTTGTCTACTTGTTTTCTTTCTAGTTTTTGTACTAATGCTAATCCCCTATTGAAGTCTTCCTTCCCTTGAGTGACACACAATAGCATAATAATCCCATGAACTATCCCAAGTCAATAGATTCCTTGACAAATTCTGATGTCCCTACTATACTGTTATATGATATAGTTGTAACTAAGTATCTACCTAGCATAGTACTCTAAAATGAAATATTTGTTGTGAAATTTTTGCATGAGTTAACACAGTAGGTTTATTATTTGATTGGTCTTAAAATACTCTGCTCTATCTTGAGTCATACATGTGTAAAAATTAACATTTCTATGCCCCCCAAAGTAGTGCTGAAGCCCTGGCCAGTGTTCCTGGGCCCAAGAAGGCTGTAACGTGCCTTATGGAGAAAATGTATAAGTTAGATGAGCCTTGTCAGGCATAAGCTATAGTGTTGTGTCCATGAGTTCAATGTTAATGAATCAAAAACCTTGTACATCCAGAAAAGGGAAGAGGAAATTTGCTGATCTGTACATGAGGCTGCTTCAGAGAGTGCTAAGCTGAAACCCATAGTATATGATGACACCATAGAAAAGCTGCACAATGGTGAAATTTGTGGATTCATGAGATGAGGGCTGATTTGTTTTTAAACAAGTCAAAATAATTTTAACCGGCAAAATGTTACAACTTAAAAAGGTATTTACACTGACAACACAAACATCATCTAAAAGATCTTAACGAAATAGTTTAAATTCACTTTTTCTTATTCCATCTTCAGAATCCATTGTGCATTTTATGCTCAAAGCACATCTCAGTTCAGCTAAGCCAAACTTCAGATGGTCAGTTGCCACCTCTGGTTGATGGCTATAGTGCTGGTCAAACCCATGTCTCATCCATTTTGAGTCGAAGTTAAATGATAGATTGTCTTTCATTCTAACTAGCATCCCGAATATCAGAAGTTCTAGGCCAAGGGTCAATTATTTGTATTTTTTATTGGAGTATAATTGCTTTACAATGTTGTGCTACCTTCTGCCATACAACAAAGCAAATTTCCTTTCCATATACATGTATCCCTTTTGGACTTCACTCCCACCCTCTCCATCCCACCCACTAGGTCATCACAGAGCACCGAGCCAAGTTCCTATGCTATATACCAAAGGTTCTCACTAGCTGTCTATTTTACACATGGTAGTGCATTTATGTCAAATGCAATCACCCAATTCATCCCACCCTCCCCTTCTTACCCTGTGGGCATACGTCTGCTCTCCACACCCATGCCTCTATTCCTGCCCTGGAACTAGGTTCAGTTCAGTCGCTCAGTCATGTCCAACTCTTTGTGACCCCATGAACCGCAGCAGGCCAGGCCTCCCTGTCCATCACCAACCCCCAGAGTCCACCCAAACCCATGTCCGAGCCAGTGATGCCATCCAACAATCTCATCCTCTGTCTGGAACTAGGTTCATCTGTACCATTTTTCTAAACTATATGTACATGTATTAATATACAGTATCTGTTTTTCTCTTTCTGACTTACTTCATTTTGCATGACAGCCATAAATGGAATGAAACTGGGTCATTTTTAGAGATGTAGTTCAATCTTAAGGGCTGATTTTTTAAAGTATAGTGGACAGCATTGTTGTGAGGCTGAAAATCAAAGAAACTCATGGTAAGTAGTTTGCATGTTTCAAACTAGTTATAATGTGATATTGTGATATAGTATTATAGTGTAGAAAATGTTGAACTTGCAGGTGAGGCAGTTTCTGCACATCAGGGATTTGGGGAAGAATTTTTAAAGATGTACAGTTGATTTATAATATTATGTTAAAGAATTTTTTAAAATATCTGCTATGTATTATACAGGAAAAGGCTTGTGTAAAGAGCAGGTGCTCAACACTGATGACTTTTGGCTTGTTTTTATAAGGATATTGACAAATGAACCTGTGTGATGCAAGTGATATTTTTGGCTTGCAGAAATTTAACAGTGTATTTTCACTAGAATCAGTGGTTCGGTATTCACTAATTCAGAGTTCATGGCAACTTTATAGAATATAACTATCACAAATAAGTAAAGTGAACTGTATATTTATGCTATATTTTTGTTTAAAAATGCATGTGTTACATTTTTCTAAGAAAACACACTCCTCTTGATTTCTAACTCATCTATCTCCACCACTAATTTTCCTAAAGCAGTCTATTTCAGAACCAAAACAATCTGTTAGAAAATATTTCAAGATCCTTCAGAAAGGCACTTAGGAAGTAGATTCCAGATCCTATGGTATAATATTTCATCCAAGTCTAGAAGTACGGAGGAAGCCAGTATTTCTGAGCATATAGTGACAACAAAAGGGAACCCAGATAGGCAACTGGTCTAAGCTGCTCAAAACCCAGGAGCTAGGACAGAAGAAATGAAGGGGTCCATAAGATAAGTCCAGCCCTCTTATCCGTCCTTATATAGTACCAGATAGACCCCTTCAGGGCCTGGGTGGTGCTATGTTGTTGGTGGTGGTTAGTCTCTAAGTCATGTCTGACTGTCTTGTGACCCCATGGACCATAGCCCACAAGGATCCTCTGTCCATGGGATTTCCCAGGCTAGAATACTGGAGTGGGTTGCCAGTTCCTTCTCCAGAGGATCTTCCTGATCCAGGGATTGAATCAATGTCTTCTGCAATGGCAGGTGGATTCTTTACCACTAAGCCACCAAGGAAGCCCAGATGATGCTACACTCATGTTTCATTCACCTGCCAAGAGAGTATGTATAGCAGGTATTTAGTAATTATTTATTTAATAAATGAATGTAAGACAACAAACAGATAAATGAAAGTACAAGAATGGGCCATCTAAATTAAAATAGCCACCCTTACTTTTAACATTATTCTTTCTTTGGCTGCTACAGAACAAAACCTTTTGAAAATAAGACAAATCAACCTGGTGATTTAATAAATTCCAGTCTAAGTCCTACCAGTAGTAGGACACAAGATCATCAAGCACTCACTGTGTAAGATACAGCAACACCACAGAGATGTTTCTAAGTGGCCGTAATGTGAAATGATCCAATTACAATATAAAGGGATGTATATTATATATGAACATGCATAGATGTGGTTAAAGCATTTATGCAGTATTCCCTCTAATACCTAGCTACCCTGTAAAATAATGTGCAAAAACAGCAAGTACAATAATTAGACAATTATAAAATCAAAGCAACGACAGAAAAATTATTCATGAAGTTAATGATTTTATCTAAACATTAAGATTGATCAATAAATTTGAATGCATGTCAGTATTAGATCAAATTGATTCTAACTGTTTAGGTACTAGTTTGATGTTTCATAGAGGACAGTTCTGAATAAATATATTTATCTAGTGTTTCAATGCTCAGCATTGTGTGATTGAAAAGAAAACAAATTTTTTGAGAAATTAAAAATTTGTGTACTTTAGATTACAAATCTTAACTGGATCAAGTTCTTTTTTAGTATTTTCTTCTTTTTCATTTTGCATCTATTGAACAGAACACTTGACATTTTTTTTTTTTAGAAAACATCTTCACTAGAGTTACTCGAATAATATCCTAAGTGAATTTTAAATACAAAATTAAGTTTCAAACGTCCTTCTTCACTTAGGAAAAATGTTGTGAAAACCAGGCCATCTGCTAAGATACTGCAGTTACATTTGGCCCTCAGAAAGTGTTTTTCTGCTTTGCTTTAGCACTCTGCTGGATTACAAGCCCACAAAGCAAGTTCACCTTGATCTTTCACTTTAAATACAAAGTATCTCAGGGACAAAATTTGACATAAATATAAACTTGTGACGTTACCAGACAAAGAAGGCTGAAATAAAATAGGACTCCAAGTGCAATTACAATAAAACATCAGAAGTGCCAGGAACACGAGTCTTGAAGCTGTCTCAGCCATAAAGGATGGCAAACGGTGACTCTCCTGAACAGAACGAAAACCACTGTTCGGCCATCAACAGCAGCATCCCGCTAACGCTGGGCAGCCTCCCCACCCTGACGCTATCTGGGAAGATCCGAGTGACAGTTACTTTCTTCCTTTTTCTGCTCTCCACAATTTTCAACACTTCTTTCTTGTTGAAACTTCAGAACTGGACTCAAAGGAAAGAGAACAGGAAAAAACTCTCCAGAATGAAGGTGCTTTTAAAACATTTGACTTTAGCCAACCTGCTGGAGACTCTGATTGTCATGCCACTGGATGGAATGTGGAACATTACTGTTCAATGGTATGCTGGAGAGCTCCTTTGCAAAGTCCTCAGCTATCTGAAGCTTTTCTCCATGTACGCCCCCGCCTTCATGATGGTGGTGATCAGTCTGGACCGCTCCCTGGCCATCACCAGGCCTCTAGCAGTGAAAAGCAACAGCAAGCTTGGACAGTTCATGATTGGCTTGGCCTGGCTCCTCAGTAGCATCTTTGCTGGACCACAGGTAAACCAACATTGCAAACTTTTTACGGAGATACAGATTTTCTATCTAAATCTGAATGAAAGTGTTGTCAAAGGTAGTATTGTATTATCTCTAGGAACTTGGGCTCTGGAAGTCAGAGTGTGGAATTTAATCATGACTTTGCTCTGTTACCTTTGGCAAATGTCTTAACCTTTCTGGGTTTCAGGTCTTGCATTTATAAAATGGAGGTAATGTCTACTTGATGCACCTTTGTAATGATTAAAAGGATAATTTGTTAAGTTTTCTATCATACTCTCTGGTACACAGTAAATGCTCCCTCAAAATGAAGCTATTCTCAAATTTGAACTCATCCTCATTTGATTCTTCCATCTACATTTTCTTTTACTCTGGTTGACATGGTAAATTGGGAGAATCTTTAGGAACAATAAAATTTGCATAGGTAAAAAGTATGCATAACTTGTTTTATTTGGAACTTCAGCATAGAGAGAACTAGCCTTAATTAGTATGTTCTGCAGTTTGCAGCTAGGTGGGATTGAATAAAGAGGAAATGTGGGGCATCTTAGACTTTTGGATATTTGAACATTTCCCTGAGGTTGACTTGAGCTTTTTCTGGAGGTAGATGAGACTGTAACAGGCTGTTAGCAAAACTCTACGACTGTTGGTGCAGGCAAGGCCCTCTCCTTCAGAAAGCAGGTAGACCTCCAGACTGTCTTCATCAGAGGCACCCCAGTTGATGGATCTTCAGAATCTGCCTCTTCAACAGTCAAATCTCTGAAGAAGATGACACGTTCTTGAAAATAGCAAAGATGAACAAGTTGTCTCTATGTGTGTGAATGTACCCTGTGATGAATCCATGGTACAGGGATGTGTCAAGAAGTCGGAGTTTACCATGATCCTCCAAAAGCTTGTCACTAAAAATAGAAATTTATCTAGAGATTCTAAACTAGCCAGCTGGCATAAAAACAAACAAACAAACAAATAAACAAGAGCTGCCACACAGGATGCACTAAATAGTTCAAGACACTAGAAAGTTAGATAACTATGTTTTCCCAATTCCTCACTTAACATTTTTTGTATATCAGTGTGTGTTTTATGGCAGAAAAAAACAAAATGCTTTGATTTCCCTGAGAAAAGTATATTAAAATTATTCTCACAGTGACTGCATATACAAGAATTAATTTAGCAAATATGTCACTTAAATGAGGTTACTTAGCAAAGGTTTATGCTCTGAAATTTTCCACTTTATTTCTTTGAACTATGAGTGATGTGTATTTGTGTATTGTTCAATTTTCTTAGAGAAGATAAACACAGGTTGGGTTCCTAACATTGAACCAGGTACTGATGAGACAGACAGAAAATGTCATTCAGTTATAGAAATAAAACCTATACAAAATGAATACAACTATGTACAAAAAAGTTTTCAAGCCTATTACCAGTGTAAGAAGAGAGAGAGATGAATTATTAGAGGTAAAATGGTGAAGGAAGGGTAAAAGGGTAAAAGTAGGATAAACTGAGTTTTTAAAGATGAGTGTATTTGAATGGAAAAAATAAGCCAAGGATCACATGTATTTTTCAGCAAAAGTTGTAAAGTGATTAATTTTCAAAGGAGACCTGTTTGGCTGAAGTGACAGATTGACAATAGCAGGAAATTAGATTTCAAGGTTGCTGCCTTTCCTTTGACATCATGGTGCACTCTTTCTTTTGTCAGAAAACACTGTAATTATGTACTTGTTTGTCTTTGCCATTATGATATGTGCTGCTACAATAGTGAAAACTGTTGTGTTCAATTGAATTCATATTCACAATACCTAATGAGACACCCCACAAAAATATAAATTTAAAATGTTTGGATACTCTTCAGATCAAATAAACCTTTCACCTTTTACTAAAATGAAAACAAAGTTTGGATAGATGAATCAATGAATGGAGGTGGAATGGATGTATATAACAGAAGATAGCTGGGGGAAATTCTGAGAACAATGTGGAAGGCATATAATTTTCATGAGCCTTATGCAAGTATTAAAGTGATTTTTTTGTTTTTGTTTATTTCCAGTTTTCTGAGAAACAGTATACACATCACCATGTAGGTTTAATGTGTACAGCATGATAGCTTGATTTGCACATAATGTGAAATGATTAACACAATAGTTTCAGCTAACTTCTTACATCATCTCATATTGACACAATGAAAAGAAAAGAAAAAAGTTTTCTTTCCTTGTGATGAGCACTCTTAGGATTTACTCTAACAAGTTTTCTAAACATCATACATCAGTGTTAACTGTGGCCATCATGTTGTACATTATTAAAATGATGTAATAAGAAAATTTACATATGGGTCACAGAATATGGTAGAATTGACGCTATTTCGTTTTGTAAAACAAATGACTCATCCTTGCTTTCAGCAGCACTTTACATTGATAAAGCACTTTGCTGAAGTTTCCTGAAAGACCTCACGTTCATAATCTTACTTGGTATTTACATTGACTCTGTGAGGTACATAAAAGTTACACTATTATCCCCATTTCACATAAAAAAGACCATTCAAAGAGAGCCTTTGGAATCAATGTCCTTCAAACCTTCTTGACAGAAATGGAAAGAAAGAAATACACATTACATAAAGACTTAATTGATGTCTCATAGACCTATAATTGAGAAAAGTTTTCATAAAATAAATCCTCTATTCTGTTCCATTTCATTGTTTATTACTGATTACAACCAACTGATGGGTACCACCCGCAGTTTGAAAAGTATTCACTTAAAAGGATTAATTGTTTGCCCAATGCCACTTGACCTGTTGAACTCCTGTCTTTTTGTTAAGTCCAGTTTATCTTTTTATTATAGCTCTCTGCTCTTTGTCTCTGAATAAAAGAGGCTTCAACCCTGTGACTAATGTTATGTGTGCGTGATGGGGAAGACAAGAGACAGGAAAGGCTTTTGATTTGAAGGCTGTGTGACACAGTGGGTATAGCTCATGTTTCACCGCGCTCCACAAAGCCCATTGACAAAAGCACATCCTGTTGTGGCTAATTTAAAAGGAGTTCGAAAGGATGACTTTTAATTTTCATCCTTTGGTTCCTGTCGTTCAGTGGCTCAGTTGTGTCCGAATCTTTGCAACCCCATGAACTGCAGCACACCAGACTTCCCTGTCCTTCACCAACTCCCAGAGCTTGCTCAAACTCATGTCCATTGAGTCGGTGATTCCATCCAACCATCTCATCCTCTGTCGTCCCCTTCTCCTCCTGCCCTCAATCTTTCCCAGCATCAAGGTCTTTTCTAATGAGTCAGCTCTTTCCATCAGGTGGCCAAAGTATTGGAGTTTCAGTTTCAGCATCAGTACTTCTAACGAATATTAAGGATTGATTTCCTTTAAGATTGGATTCATCCTTTGGTATATACATGGATATTCTAACACTTGATTAATTCATGCTAGGTTGGAAAAAGAAAAAAAAAACTAACAAGCTAGTTGTCATGTTCCCAGGAACCTGAGAATTTATGACATTTTGCTAGAGTTCAGAATGACCAACTTTCAAACTGACCACCTTGCTTTTCCACCTTGCTGATCTGTGATGATTTGGGGATATATTTTCAGAACTTTCAGTGTACTGTGACCAAAATTTTATACTTTTGCTTGTAATTGAATCTGTATGGAGCTTCAATAAATGAAACAGATATAAGTGGAGTTGCTCTGGTCAAATGGGGATAAGGGACCCCCCAGTCCTCTGTCTGACCATTCACCAGCTCCATTCCTAGCCTCTGAAGACCTCAGATATCCCTGCAAGCCTGAAAGACAGTGGAATTTAAACAAAGCTGGTTTCAAATCTCAGTGCTGTCTCTTACCAACTATCTGAGTAAATTACTTAACCAAGTTTAAAAGGGTAATTGTAAGAAGTGCTATAAAGAGTAAGATATACACAATCATATATAAGACTTTAAGTATAAAGTCTTAAAAACGCACTACTATCCATTCCTTCCCCTTTTCCTACTTTAATTATGTCCTTCATAATAGGATTTTTGAAGTCAGGAGAACAAAGTTTTAGGGAAATATGAGTATGAAAATAAAATAATTATTTAAGAAACAGCAAACAAAATTGCTTATGTAAAGATTGCTTCATATTTCTCAAAATTATGACATTTATTCTGACTGATAAGTAAATTTGGCCAACGTCCTACCCAGTTACTAAGCTGTATTACTCACTCTAAAAGCTTTATATGCCAGAGCATAATGATTCAAGTCTTGGAGGTATTGTTTCTAAAAGTAGGATAAGAAAGGAAGAAAAGTAGGAAGGGAGAGGAAGGCAAGGCAAGACAGCCAACAGGACTGGAAAGGATATCTGACTTAAGACTGACTGTGGTTAGGCTAGCAGGTGCATGTTAAGGAGAAAACATTTCCTGAATATGGTGTGTCCATATCCAATTAAAAAACACAAGGTTTCTGATGACAGTCATCTAAGACCACAATAATTCCAGAGCAGCAGATTATTTGCAGATAGAGTTCACATCACTAGTTTCTCTGTGCTACTAGGGACACTTATACGTTGACAGCTTTTTAATTCTGTAGGTAACCCAGGCCTGCAGAGAAAATGCAGTCACCCTCGATATCCCCAGGGGATTGTTTCCTAGACATCCTCCTTCCCCACCATGGTGGCCTCAGATAAGAAATTTCCCAGATGCTCAAGTCCCTTCTAAAAAATACAGTATAGTATTTGCCTGTAACTTATGTACACCCTCCTATATATTTTAAATCATCTCTAGATTACTTATAATATATAATACAATGTAAATGCTCTGCAAATAATTGTAATTACAATGTAATATTATATAGACAGTTGCTGGAGCTTTCCAAGTTCAAGTCTTGTTCTTTGGAACTTTCTAAAAAAAATTTCCTGAATATTTTTCCATCTGCAGTTGGTTGACTCTGCAGATGTGGAATCAGATTTGGAGGGTCTGTTGTGTATGAGTATTCCTTTATGCTTTGGTGTGAAGATGTGTGGTCTGAATAAATGTGGAGGCTTGCCTGTTAC